AAAGCACGACCATCACTGCATTCATTTTAGCTACAGGAACAAAGATCTCCTTATAGTCAACACCAAAGGTTTGTGTAAATCCATGAGCTACTTATCGAGCATTGTGCCTTTCATCTGAGCTATTTGAGTGAACCTTATTCTCATATATCAACCGACTCACAACAACCCTTTTTCCTTGAGACAGTGGAATAACATTCTATGTTTTATTTGCATTTAAAGCTTGCATTTCTTCTGCCATAGCATTCCACCATTTACTTGGTAGATTTTGCCTCTTGAAAATTCCTTGGTTCTTGGACATTGGAGATTCTGCTAAAAAAAAGAATTAGGAAAATCGTGTGATATGTCAGTGAATTAGTTATTGGATACCGTGCATGATAAGTGAGTTAATCATGTAGCTTTTGGGGTGGATGCCTATCATAACTACGATTTTTTTTTACTGGGATTAAAGGCGATGATTAAAGGTCCACATAAGGTATTAAACTAGATGGCTCGGGATAATTATCTTTAGGAATGACAATGGGGTTTGTGACTTCAAGATCTTCATGATAACAAGCTGAAGCATCATAGTCAAAGTTGACGTTAGAAGCAAACAAAGGGAAAAGATCAGGAACAAGATCCCTATTACCACTAGTTTCTAAAGATTTATTGAAATATGGTGTTCCCTCATCAAATCTAACATTACATGGTACAATAACTTGCTTAGTGATAAGATTGTAGCACTTGTATCCCTTTTGTGGATAAATATCCTAAAATAAACACTTAACAACTCGAGGATCAAATTTATCACGATTGGGCACTTGAATATGGCCATAAACTGTGCATCCAAAGACTTTTATGTAAGATAAATCAATCTTTCTATCATTCATCACTTCATACAGAGATTTGAAATCTAGCACACGACTAGGCAGTCAGTTAATAAGATAGGTAATAGTAAGAACACCTTGAGACCTGAACTTCTTGGGTATGTTCATTTGATACATTAGGGTTCTAGTTTTCTTAAGCAAATATCGACTTTTTCTTTCCGGGACGCCATTTTGTTGGGGGTGTTCCAACACAACTTGTTTGGTGTATAATGCCATGTATGCTCAAATATTGTGACAAGTTATTAAACATATACTCATTGCCATTATCGGACCTTAAGGTGTGAATGGTAGTTGAAAATTGTGTGGTGACTAGTCGATGAAAATCTTGGAATGTATTCAACAATTCACTCTTAAATTTTTAAAGATATAACAAAGTAATCCTTGAGTAATCATCAACGGAGGTTATAAAATATTTGCATCCATCAAAATTTTTTTTAAAAAAAATGGACCCTAAATGTCATATTGTACAATTTCAAACAACTTGCTAGGCTTAGACATAGGGTTGCTTTTCAACCTAGTACACTTCGACAAGTAACAAATGTCATAAGTCATGGAGATTTTACAAAAAATTGGAAACTACTTTAACATCGCTAGATCAGAAGGATGAGCTAAACGTTGATGCCAAAGATGTTGATCTTTTGTACGACTGGAACTAACTAGTAAACTTTTGGAAATTTGTTGATCCTTTGATAGATAGTACGATCCATTTAGTAGAAGCCATCACCAATTTTCTTCCTAGTGACAATATTCTGGAAATTGACATTGTTATTGACCAAATGTAACATGACCACACGTCTGTCAATATAATTAATGTGAAATAGGATGATGCGACACCAGGGTCTAGCAAATTAGGCCACGTGGATCTAATTCAACGGCGACATGTCATCATAGTCACTATAAATAGAGATCTTTGTAACATATAAGGCAATGAATCTTTAGATGTATAAAAAAATATGGTCTATTTCTCTCTACATAAATTCACTCATTGTTCTATATTTTCTTCTTTTACAAGTATTTATCTTGCTTATTTACTTAAGTATATTTGATGAATAATGGAACATGTGTTTAAGTTCAAATTCAACCTATTGAGGAGTATGCCCACGTGTACATCATCATAAATGACACATGTTGGCACGTTTTTGGAGGTCAACAAATTGGCGCTGTCTGTGGGAATCCAAACGGTTAACCACGAAAATCTCGTGGAAAAAGCCAATAATTTTAGTCCACAAAAACCCTAAGCCTTTGAATAAAAGGAGATATCTTTGAAGAAAGGATCACCAAAAGGGGAAAGCTCATTTGGAACTCGATTTCTACTCCTTGAAAAAGAGGAAGCATTAATTATGACAAAAAGATATTCTAAAAGTAGTATAAGTACTAGCGAAGAAGAACCCGCACCTTGAAGAATTAGGGAATACCCTGAAGATGGAAATGCGTATATTGTGGAGAAAGCAACAGTATGGAAATCAAATCAAAATTCAAGGTATCAATGTGTAGGATTTATATTGATGTGTTTTAAAGTTACAACTAAGACAATGGAATTACAAGATTGTTTATGTTTTAAGCTTACACTTTATTTTTGCATAAAATTAGATTTTTATATAACTCTATAAATTGTTGTTAATTAAATCATGTTACTATTACATGTTAATATAAATTTTGGCATGAAAATGTGATTAGATATGTGGTTATAGACATGTGAACACATAAAGTAAAACTTTCAGCTTTCTGTTTGATTTTCAAATTGTCACTTCGAATTGGAATCTGCAATTATTTGGATGATATCAATGGATTTTGAAAGTCTTATGTGTCCTTTATCCATTGGTTTTGGAATCAAGCCATATGGAAGTCGGTAAAATAAGTTACGCTTTTTCATGTGTTTTGTTTAGTGTACTAGGGAACAGCTTTAGGTGTGTGATTGAGTGTTCAATTGCATGCCTAAATGATGTAAGAAAGTTCTAAAATTTTACTATGTTGTATTTTTAATGAGTTTAGGAAATAGTGTAAAAGTTTCATAAAATTGTAAACTCGAAAAATGCTCCAACTGAACTTGATCGTTAGGTAGCATGTTGTAGGGTTGAACTCCATTAACAAAAACTAGCCTCCATTTTCATCTTCGTTTTAAGATTGATATCTATATACCTCTGTAACCTATTTTCTACAAATGTTCTTAACCATATTAGTGATATCAAATAGGGCAACACACACTTCAAAGATGGGCACTATAACTTTTCAAGATAGAGGTCGACAAGTTCCTACTACTAGCATTATACCCAAAAAAGCCTTTTACAACGGTCAAAAAATATTGCCGTTAACCTTTTGCAGCATTCGCACATATGTTATTGGATGCGATGTTGCCTTAGAGTCACTTCAAATATAGAACAAACTATTTAAATAAGAGCAAACTTTCTCTTACACTTCTCTTAAAAATGAAATTACTTGTATAAAAGAAGTCCCATTAAAACTACAATTTATGTACAAAATTAAATTAATAAAAAGAAGATGAGGTACACTAACAGGAACTCTCTACTATAAGTGTCATTCCATCAACTTCCTCGTCTTTGGCGACTTGAACCCTATAGAGATATCAAATATCATAAGCTAAGTAAATGGCTCGAGACAACGAGGTAGGATAACTCACTTCTAAGAGGAACTTTGAAGGAGTTTGAGTAATAAAAACATGTACAGATGAAGTTACAAAGGGTCATTACACCTTTAGTATAAATTTCAGAATACCACACCTTTAAATATGAGGTAGCAGTAGCAGCAAGAAGTTGGTATGGACTAATCATCATCAAGAACACTTGGACAGTCGGACGCTTCCTAGTCTGGAAAACAACGGAAATACAAGTTCATAACATCCTATTGATTGGTATCAAACAGACAAAGGGGTGAACAAGAAGTGACTTACTGTTACTTTGGTTTCTTTAGTAGTTTGGGTGTTGAATTTGTTTAGTGAATACATCTAAGTCTAGCTAAGATAAGATGTCAACAAACATACTCTTTTCTAAATTATAGTGAAAAACTGTTGCTACAAGTAAAAACAGCCAGTAAAATTCTTGAATAGGTTGAATAAACAAAAGTAAACACTACAGATCAAATATCAACAATCGATCCCAAAATTACCTCTAAAATCAACCCTAGTTTTCAAAAAATAAAAAACACCGTAAATTATTCAAAGAATTACCTTAGTCGAATTATTTCTAAATGATAGATCTTAGCAATTTTTGTTATTTCCATTTGAACAGAGAATATTATCTGACCCAAAATCGAACGATTTCAATCCCAAATCTCTATCCATACCCAGTGACTACATGTTTAAAGTATAGATGAAATGAGAGAAATGTCATTGTACCCCGCAGGTGGGAATACGATATGCCACGGTGGAGAATGTTCGGGAGCAGCTGGCGCATTTGTGTGTTTAGATCTTAGTAATACAAACCACATGCCAGAAACCTAGTGATACAACTAATGTTGTAGTCCCGAAGATAACACATTTCTCGAAGATAGTCACATTTCTCGAGGACTCTCACATGCCTGGATTTCTCTTTTTTGGTGATGCAGTCCTTGAGGTTGTTGTCCTCAAGAACACACCTCGTTGCCTTTGTTTCAGGTATCGAAAGATTGTATTTGTGCTTGTTATTAGTCCTAATTTTCGAGATCTGCAAGGTATGATTTTTTGGTAGCATCATTGGCGCCGTCTGTGGGAAGCCCTACCAAAAACCATGGTGAATACATGATCAAGTCTTTCTCAAGCAAGCTCATTAGCCCCAAGCCCTCATCCTTCCCTAGAAGATCATCAGCCCCAAACCCTCATCCTCTCCTAGAGGATCATCCTGCTCCTCAAGAAGAGTCGTCAGAGATACCAATACCCCAACAAGTTGTTGTCATTGCTGGTGCTTTTGAAGAGCTTCGCCAACAAGTTGCCATGCTCACTCAGTTGTTGAGCCAGAAGACTTCTCACCCAATGCATACGCCGACTCCTGAAGGTGGTTTCATGGAGGATGGTCGAGCTCGAGCCTCGCACCCCGTTCCTGATAATGATGGGATTGGAACTTAGGATGTACCCAACATGGCCTCAGCCTCGAGAGAAGTAACAATGATTCCGATGAACTCGCTAGAATCATCCAAGAGGGTATCATGGCCGGCCTAAAGCAGAAGGAAAAGGGAACAAAAGGTTTCACCCTTAATACTCTGTTTACTCCTGAGATACTGTCGTTTCCCCTGCTGGATAGATTCAAGTATTCCAGTATAAAAGAGTACGACGGGACTACTGATTCGAGAAATCATCTCAACATCTACATTGACGTCATGAATCTGCAAGTTGCTCCAGACCAAGTGATGTGTAAGGCTTTCCCTCAAATACTGACCAACACTGCCAGAGATTGGTTCTCAACCTTGGAACCCAATTCCATATCTTCCTTCGCGGACCTGACCGATAAGTTTTCCACTTTCTTTGCCAGTAGCAAACTCATCAGAAAGATGGCAGCCTTCCTCATGCAACTCTACCAAGGACAGAATGAGACTTTTCGTGACTTCATGACGAGGTTCAATAAGGAAAGGTTGCAGATCCCCAACCTCCATATCAATGCAGTAGTCTCCGCTCTTACTCATGCTATAAGATGTGAGGCATTCAAGATGTCATTGTCATAACACTGTCAAAATCAGTGACCGAGCTCTTGACCAGAAGTGAGAAGTACATTAATATGGAGGAAACATTAAGTCGAAAGAGAATCGGCCTGACTCAAGAAAGGGCCAAGCACAAGAGGCCATATGACTCAAGTCAACGGCAAGAGGCCCCTCGAAATAAGCAGAGGCAGGAGACCCCGCCATCATTATTCTCCAAAATACTTCAAGAGCCAACATACTGATAGAGATAAAGGGTATGAAGGAGTTCAAATGGCCACCTAGAATGAAGTCCCCTCCGAATGCTGGGACCGAAGCAAGCATTATGATTTTCATAAGGATCTTGGGCATACCACGGATAATTACATGACCTTTAAGAGGAAAAATAAGCCACTTATAAAGAGAGGACTCCTCGGCTCATATGTTAGCAGTGACAAGCGTTCTAGAAATGACCATGATAAGAAGAAACCCCCAAAAACTAGGAGTGGTCGCCAACCAACGGCGGGGACTATCAACATCATTTTTGGAGGCATTGTATCAGAAGGAGACTCAAACAATGGATGAAAACAATATGCCAGGCAGCACTCCTCAACATCTAGAATGTACCAGGTTTATCTTGAGGACATTACATTCAGAGGTAAAGACCTTGATGTCATATCACTTCCTCATGATGATGCGTTAATTATTTCAATAATTATTGCCAACTTCGAAGAAAGAAAGATCTTAATTGATAACGAAAGTGTAGCAAACATCCTATCGTATGAGGCCTTCGGTAAGATGGGAATTTCAATTCAACAACTAAAGCCTGTGAAAACTCCTCTGCAGGGATTCGGTGGGAGTGTCATCATCCCAGAGGGTGTTGTCGAGTTACCTCTCACCTTGGGGGCTGATCCAAAGTAAGTGACAGAAGTCCGTCTTTTCAAGTGGTCCGTGCTTCAATGGCCTATAATGCTATCCTGGGTAGAGCCCTGTTAAACAAGGTCAGGGCAATCGTGTCCACTTTTTACCTTGCCATGGAATTTTCTACAGGTCATGGCGTAGGAATTGTAACTGGAGATCAAGTGGCAGCTAAACAATACTATATCACCAGCCTACAAAGGATAGACACCGACGTCATGCAACTTTTCGACACTGAGCCGGACCCCAACCATCGGGGTAGGCTTTCTCCAGTCGAAGAATTGGTAGAAGTTGAGCTAGAGGTGGGGAAAAAGTAAATATTGATCATGATCTTGACGAAATCCTTATAGCGAAACTCATTGCCTGCTTATCTTGAAATATCAATGTCTTTGCATGGAAAGTGGAAGACATGCCAGGGATAGACCCTAGCGTTGCAGTCCATAAGCTCAATATCAGTCCAGGAGCCAAGCCTGTGAAGCAGAGAAAAAAATAGTTTGCCCCAGAAAGACGAGAGGTCATTCGTGAATAAATCAATAAACTTGTCAATGCAGGCTTCATCAAGGAGGTCCAATATCCCGAGTGGCTTGCCAACATAGTTTTGGTGAAAAAGGCCAATGGGAAATGGAGGGTTTGCATTGATTTTAAAAACCTCAACAAGCCTGCCCAAAGGACAGTTATCCCTTGCCTCAGATTGACAGCCTTGTGGATGCCACAGCAGGACAAATGTTGTATAACTTCCTGGATACATTTATAGGCTACCACCAAATCCTTATGATCGAGGAGGATCAAGAGAAAATATCTTTTATGGTAGACTCCACCATATACTACTAAAAGGTCATGCCATTTGGGTTGAAGAATGCAGGGGCAACATACCAAAGACACATCAACAAAGTCTTTGCCCAACTCATCGGCAAGAATATTGAAGCCTATGTCGATGACATGGTGGTGAAAAGCAAGCAGGTAGGCCAGCATGTATCTGATCTTGAGGAAGTCTTCTAGCACGCTTCGAAAGTACAGGATGAAATTAAACCCAACAAAGTGTGCATTTGGAGTAGCCTCGAGAAAATTCTTGGGATTCATGATCACTCACAGAGGGATAGAGGCCAATCCAGATAAGATACAAGTCTTGGTATCCATGGAATCGCCAAAGAGCAAAAAAGAGGTTTAGAAGCTGATGGGCCGAGTGGTTGCCTTGAATAGGTTTATGTCCCGGGCAGTAGATAGGTACCTTCCTTTCTTCAAGGTCCTTAGGGGCAACTGGAATTTCGATTGGAATGATGAGTGTGAAAAAGCTTTTTAGGAGCTCAAGCAAACATTAGCCTCTCTCCTAGTCCTAACCAGACCTAAACTCGGGCACACCTTGCTTTGATACTTAGCAGTCTCTCAGCATGCAATCAATGGTGTGCTAGTGAAGAAGGTTAATAAAGTCCAGTAACCAATTATTATGTAACCACAGTGTTACTTGACACAGAAACAAGGTACACATTGGCTGAATAACTTGCCCTAGCCTTAGTCACAACAGCTCGCAAACTTCGACAATATTTCCAATCACATCCCATTATTGTGCTCACAAATCAGCCCCTCAAGCATATACTCCAGAAGCCTGACATCTTTGGAAGGTTATTGAAATGGGCAATTGAGCTGGGAGAATTTGATATTGAGCTCAAACCTCGTCCTTTTATTAAGGCACAAGCTTTAACAGACTTCATTGCGGAACTCACATCAACGCCTTGGTGGCTAGAGGATTGGTCAAGAAACAACATTTTGAAAACTTGGGAAATTTTCTTGGATGGGCAACTAACTTCTTAGGCTCGGGTACTGGGATCATCATCATTAGCCCCGACAAAAATATGGAGGTTCAGTGTGCCCTCAGGTTAGAATTTGAAGCTACTAACAATGAAGCAAAGTACGAAGCAATTATCATTGCTCTGGAGCTAGCCCTTAATCTTGAGCTTGAACATATCAAGATTTTTAGCGATTCTCAACTTATTTTCGAACAGATTGAAGGCTCATTCGAAAGGAAAGACAAGAAAACTAGCTTATATTATCTAAAAGCTTATGATCTACAGAGGCGATTTAATAGTTGTGAAGTCATAGAGGTTGATAGAGCACAGAATTACAAGGCCGATGCACTCTCCAGACTTGTGTTTGCAGGTGTTGATGGATTGGATAGGAGTGTACACACCAAAATTCTGATAGAGCCCAGTATCAGACCAAAGACGTCATGGACATTGATCATGAACCATCTTGGATGGATCCAATAGTAGATTTCATAATAAATAGAAACCTCCCAGAGGATTCTCGAGCAGCTAGGAGCATTCGATCAAGGGCACCAAGGTATTGCATGATCAGAGGGGTCCTTTTACGCAGAAGCTTCACACTCACATACCTCAGGTGCCTCAAGCCATGAGAGGCATCCCGGGTCCTGGCGGAAGTTCATGAAGGTGTGTGTGGGAATCACCTTGCCTTCAAACTCATACGATATGGATACTATTGGCCTACAATGAGGAAAGACGTCCTAGACTATATCAAGAAGTGTGACAAGTGTCAGAGGTTTGGCAACATCATTCATTCCCCCACTGAGGATCTTACGAGCATCAATATCTCAGCGCCATTTGAGCAATGGAGAATTGACATCCTCAGTCCTTTTCTGATCGCAAGGGGACAATTGAAATTCGTAGCAGTGGCTGTAGAATACTTTACCAAGTGGGTAAAGGCTGAACCCTTGGCAACCATCTTGGAACCCAAGTTAAGGACCTTTGTATGGAAATCTATTGTTTGCCGGTTGGGGATCCCAAAAGTCCTTATAACGGATAAAGGCAGGAAATTCGACAACCCTCAATTCAAAAAGTTTTGTGCAAAACTTGGGATTGACCACCGACTAACCTCAGTTTCGTACCCACAGAGCAATGGTCTAGCTGAGGTAACAAATAGAATTATACTGTAAGATCTTCGCACCAGGATTGGCAAGGCTAGAGAGACATGGTCAGATGAGCTACCTTCAATATTTTGGACTTATAGAACATCCCACAGGACTGCAATCGGCGAAACTCCATTCGTGTTGGCCTTCGACATTGAAGCTGTAATTCCTGTCGAGCTTAGTGTACCTACCCTTAGGAAGCTTGAGCATGATGTATTAGAATGCACAACTGAACATCTTGACCTCCTTGAAGAAGTAAAAGAACAAGTCTCCCTAAGGATAGCTTCTTACCAAGACCGGACGACGAAGTACTTTAACAGTAGAGTAACACCTCGGAAGTTCAAGATAGGAGACCTCGTGTTGAGAAGAGCTGAAGCAGCCCAGCATGCACTCGAAAAGCTCGGCCCATTTGGGAGGGGCCTTTTGAAGTTATACGACAAATCCATGAAGGAGCTTACAGTCTGAAAGACATATCAGGAAGACTACTTCCAAGGCCCTGGAACACCAAAAACTTGAAAATATACTACAAGCACCTTCCTCCATCATATGGTCAGACCTGCGTGTTAAGTCTAATTTTTCATGTGGTTAGGCCTGCATGCCAAGTTTAATTTTTATGTTGTCAGATAATTCTTAAGACCCATGCGAACGAGATCCTGAATCATAATACTTAGCAATTTTTAAATTTAAAATAGTGCTCGAGTTCATATATACACCATTAGGTCGAGGATAACACTAGGAGTTAAAGATTTTCGATATTAATGCTCGAGGTTATGGGAAAAACAATGCTTCAAAACCTGATGCTTAGACAAATCTGGCAACCTTCGAGGAATTAACATCACCGAGGACTATCACATGCATAATTATAACTTTTTAAAGTTAGTGTGCTCAAGATATGTGGAGGTCTCGTATATATCTTAGTGCTCGAGTTCGGGCATAATTGATTGATGCGATATGAAATACTAGGATTAAGTCTTATCCACCAGCAAAATGTTTTTATAGAGATTGGCCAAAATAAATTGTCAAAAAATTACATCAATAAAATGAAGAGGCCTCAGGATACATGAACAAGGGAGGATCTTAACAAATATGTCCTAGAGGAGGGTCGAGGTTTGTGATATCAATCTGCACGTCTTTTTCCTCGTGCTCGTCCTCCCCATCTATGTCGTCATCACCCTTGTCATTGCCCCTATCATCGAACCTTGAGAGCTCGAGGGTGTCTACAATTGAGGGGACTGTCTTCAGGTCATTAGGTATAGCGTCGAGCATTTTGGCCCTGAGGAAGGCTTGACGCTCTCGAGGCATACTCGCCCTTGATCTTGTCACAATCCTCGAAAGTTTTAAATTCTTTCTAGGCTCTTTCCTTGACCTCGGCTAGCTTTTCCTCGAACTCCTTGGTTTTATGCAGAACCTCAAGCCTCGCCTTCTCGGCCTAGTCCTTCAGGGTTACGGCCTCCTTTTGCGCCCTCCTCAATTCCCTCCGCATATCCTTACGCTCTTTTTCCCAAGCCTCATGCTTGGCCTCAAGCTCAGCTATCCTTTTATCCTTAAGGGAAGAGGACTCCGTGATCTCAGCAAGCCTCTGGGATTCCTTGAGCCCTCTCTGGGAAACCCTCGGCAATACTCAGCGTCTGGAAAAAGAAGACATTGAACATCAGCCCTGAGCAAAACGAAGTATATATAAGCAATACAAGTTTTTGGATCGAGGTACCTTCAAAGTAAGAAGCTCGAGGGCTTTCATTCCCTCACGTAACTCAAACCTCGTCCCTATATTTGATGACCAAGCTGTGCATGAGGTGACCATGCTCGAACCCTTTCGTCATCGAGGCCCTTATAGGGACGGAGTCATCCTTGAGATCTACTACCTCAGAAGGAGCTCGAGGCGTAATTCTTGGGGATGGGGACCTCTGGCTCGAAGGCCCTCGAGGACTTGGAACTGGAGGACGGGGTTGAAACATCTCACCAGGATCCTTGATAGGATGTTCAGGAATGTTAACCTGAGCCCTCTTTTTACTTTTCTTTTTTAACTAAGGCTGGCTCTATGGTTGGCTCTTAGCCCTAGAGTTCACAAAGTTGCACAGTGCTTGAGGATCGAACGACATTCCTGAAAATAGGAAATAAGATAACACATTAGAATGAGCATAAAAGATCGAAGTGTGTACAAACATGAGAACTAAAGAGCTCTACCCTCGACGCCTCTCACATCAGCTAGATCTATCACCTTTCCCACGATCTCCTTTATCGTCGAGAATAAAGGGTCAAGCCCCACTAGCATCCTCCTATGCTCCTCCAAGATGTCTAGGTATACTTGGCCCTCACAGAACTTCTCGGCATTGGGAATTTCCCAATCAGGCCAGAAAGAGAACTCCGGTTCTCGGGCAATAGCATAAAACCATCCCTCCTCTGCCCTTTCAGAGAATTCGCCATCATCGGGACCTTAAACCCTCATATGGTCGAGAGATAACCAAAATAGGTATATCGAGGATGCTTCTTGAGATCCAACACCAATTTACAAAGGTCAACACTGGGCTCGATAGCTAAGTACCTATAGGCTATGAAAAAGTACACGAGCATTCTCAATGCATTGGGCACTAGCTGCCTCTAGCACACCGAGTGATCGACCAATAAGGCAATAAAAAAGGATACAGGGGCCACCTAAAGCCTGCCTTAAGGGTCTCCTTAAAGATGAAAAACTCTCCTCATCGAGCTTGTACGATTCTATCCTCGGGGCCAGGAGACCTAACGTCACAAATGGGCATGAGCCTTTACTCCCTAGTTGCAGCTATGGCCAAATGCTCTTTCAAGCTATAAGGTTCATCGGGATTTTTGAAGGCCATATTAGCCTCAGGACTTACATCTAGGGGAACAGTTGTGGGTATTATCGAGGTCCCTAGGTCCTCACCACTACTTGAGCTATCAGAATGACCACTTCCCTTACTACTCGACATTATTTAATGAAACTAGGTCCTAACTTATGAAATAGGTTAAAAGTCTTGAGCCTTACCTTGGTGATACCCTTTGCTTGGAGAAGTTCCTCAAGTGTTTCGCTCGAGCACGACCTTATATAGAGCAGGTTTACAGTTGGTAAAAAGTAAAAAATGAAAGGTAAATGACCGCATTTATAGAAGTGGAATACGGAAGGCCAAAGATCACCATCTTGAGCCGTTCAAGACACGACATGTGTCGCATATCTGAACATCTCCCTACAACGGTCAAATCATCTCCCAATCAGATCGTCCTTACACATACCTCGACGATGACATTGTTGGGTCCTGTGTACCCCTCCATCGAGCATGAGCCCTACGAAGGAGTGCACGGGGGCCAGTGATACAGTTGATTTTGGAGTCCAGAAGATAACACATTTCTCGAGGACTCTCACATGCCTGTATTTCTCTTTTTGGTGATGCAGTCCTCGATGCTGTTGTCCTCGAGGTGTTTTGCTCGAGGACTATGGTTGAGATTTCCCAACCTTCACTCGTCTGAGTCCTTGAGTGTTTATGCTCGAGCACATCCTTCAAGGTGAATCATCGATCTGTCGGATTCATGGGAAGTCCTACTCTCCAAGGACTCAATGCCAACTGTAACACTATTCATCATAAAATTATATTACGAGTAAGACATTCCTCCCAAGCAGGACTTCATTGGATAAGTACATCCGACTAATTCAATCCTATAAGGACTGAACTCCAACCTCTATAAATATAGACCCTCAACCCATCGATCAGGTACGTTCTCCACACAATTTTCAGCACATATATTTCTTTTCAATCCTCTTTCTAACTTAAGCATTGGAGGGGCGACGAGAACACAATTCGTTGCCTTTGTTTCAGGTATCGAAAGACCATGTTCGTGCTTGTTATTAGTCCTCATTTTCGAGATTTGCAAGGTATGATTTTTTGGTAGCATCACCTAGTTTCTAAAGAAGATGAGCACGTAGATTAATTGATGGCTTTGGCAATTTCAACCCATACTGGGAACATGGGGATTTTGCAGTATCCATAGCTGAAGGAGAAGAAAAGTAGGGGAGAACAAAATAGTGGACTAAAAAATGAAAGGGAAAATAAAAGGAAATAAAGGAAGTAAGGGAAAAAATTAAAGCTTTTTGCAACGCTGTAAGAAGAAAGTTGCAAAAAACGTTGCAAAAAATGGGTTTTAGCAACATGCAATGAAACGTTGCTGTAGGACTTGATTTTAACGTCATTTAATGAAGTTGCAAAAAATAGGCTTTTTGCAACGCAACAGTCAACGAACATTGCAAAAAGTGATATTTTCACAACACTTGACAAAATGCTGCAAAATGCAAGTTTCAGCAACATGCACCGAACGTTGCTATACAACTAGATTTTAACAACGTTCAGTGAACTTTGCAAAAAAGAAGAGTTTCCGCAGCAGTGGGTGAACGTTGCAAAAAGTGACATTAACAACATTCACTTGAAAAATGTTACCAAAACTCAATTACATTAACCAATAGCAACATTTATTTATTAGAATGTTGCGATCAATGTTTTAATACCCGGCCAAGTAAGCAGAGAGGGTCGAGGGTCAAAAGGTCAACGGGGTCGAATCGGGTCAAACCGGAGGTGATAAATATATATTTATAAACATTTTAATTTTATTTTTACAACAATATATAATTAAATTTTTACACCATCAATTCAAATTAAATACTAATATGTCAAATGTATGTTTTTAATATAAATTTTACTAGTTTTTATTTTTTAGATCGCTTAAAAATTCATTTCAATTTTACTAAATAATTTGTATGATTAAAAAATGTTTAGCAATCTTAGAAATTGAGTAATTTAATTGTGTAATCATGCACCATGTGCCCATAAAAAATATTGAAAAAAGTGTGCTTTATTGAAGTTTTTCAATCCCACATTGAAAGTTTATCAATTATGGGATTCAATAAATGGTTACCCGACCCGGGAACCATTATACAGTAAGCAACTACGACACGTCAAAGTCGATTGACACCTAACCCCAATCTCAGCCGTCAATACCAGTCCACGACTCCATCCAGTCATCCAATCATCAACCCCTCCAAATCCACGCTGGACTCTCTCTTTCTCTCTCTCTGTCTCCCTCTCTCTCTCAGCCTGAAAATCGTCGACACAGCGATTCCACCGTGTCGACGATCTCTCACGAACGAAGCTCTAATTTTCTCTCCCTAAATCGAATGAGATTCAGTGTTTTTCTTACTTACCACCTCATTTTTTGATACATATATGATATAATTAAAGTTTATTTGGCTGTTGGGTGACTGAGTTGAGTCAGTAGTTCAGATTGACCGAGTTGCGGATACGGTAATCATTTTAATCAAGTTTATGCTGTTAAATCTTTATAATTTTTATTGATGTATGTTAGTTTATGTAAATTTTCTTGGCTTTTGATAGTTTTGTGGATAAAACTAGGTCACACATATATTTTTCCTGCATCTGTGTCTCAACCCCTCCAAATCCACGCTGGACTCTCTCTTTCTCTCTCTCTGTCTCCCTCTCTCTCTCAGCCTGAAAATCGTCGACACAGCGATTCCACCGTGTCGACGATCTCTCACGAACGAAGCTCTAATTTTCTCTCCCTAAATCGAATGAGATTCAGTGTTTTTCTTACTTACCACCTCATTTTTTGATACATATATGATATAATTAAAGTTTATTTGGCTGTTGGGTGACTGAGTTGAGTCAGTAGTTCAGATTGACCGAGTTGCGGATACGGTAATCATTTTAATCAAGTTTATGCTGTTAAATCTTTATAATTTTTATTGATGTATGTTAGTTTATGTAAATTTTCTTGGCTTTTGATAGTTTTGTGGATAAAATTAGGTCACACATATATTTTTTCCTGCATCTGTGTGTAAATGCGTGGGTAGTAGGTGTACTTTTTATTTCCTTCGTTTATGTTTCGTGGAAAGATTCTAATTAAATTAATATTTTATTTTTATCTTCGAATATAGTTGAATAATGTTAATTTCTTGCTTACCACCTCCTTTTTTAATGTATATGTTATAGTTAAAAGCTTTATCTGGGTGATTTTTGATAGTTAGAGAACACAGTGGTTTTTTAATGTGTATGTAACTGAGTTGACTCGCTAGTTCAGATTTACGGAGTTACTGCCGCTTTTGGCTTTTGCATTACATTATTTATTTATTTATTTATTTTTTGGTTTGTTTTGTTTTATTTTTATTTTTATTTTTTAAGTTGAATTCAAGCAGTTTAAATCTTTGTAATTTTTATTCAAGTTATTTTAATCTAATATGCCCGAAAGTTCTTAGGTTTTGGTGTTTTTAGTGATTATATTTCTTTTGTGTTTCTGGATAAACTTATGTTTCATGTACATTTCCTTGTGTCTATGTGTATATGCTTGGATATAGTGTGAATGTATTCTTGTTTTAACGATTTTAAAAGTCTATTTGATTTGATCGTTGAATATGGTTGATTGAGGTTACTTTCTTTCTCAGTTGTTGACAAGTTTTCAATATTTTATCCAAGTTTACATAATTAGATCTTACGATATTACATAAATGGATCTTAAAGTTTTCATGTGCTGGGCAAAGAGTTACTCGTTGTACTTAACTTCCGAATGTAACAGGATTTTTTGTTTTGTACAGACGCACATTCATGTGTATAACATAATGGTTTGACTGATATTGGAGGAAGTGGTGTAGTCTCGACAATGGGTAGTGCTGAGATGGATAAATCTTCTAAGGAGGGCAAAGAAACAAAGGAGTCAAAATTTTCTTCTTCGCAGGTAATACTGTGTGGGGATTTGTGATTTTAATGCATGTTTGTGTTAGCTAGTTGGAAATGGTTTATTTATTTATTTATTTTTGAAATTTTTAGGAGCAGAATTCAGCAACTTCTGGTATGGTTACTGCTGAATGGGCTGCCTTTCAGGTTAAAAGATTTCTGGAAGATACCCACTTGGCCTTTATGCTCATTTGTCAGCATTTTAGAATTGGTAGTTATGGGGGTGTTGGTTGTGGTTGTGCAGGGGTATTCTCCTATGCCTTCACATGGGTTCTTGGCATCAAGTCCGCAACCGCACCCATATATGTGGGGAGTTCAGGTACCTTTTTACTTTTATGTTTAGTCTCAAGTATTATCAAGCTATTATTTCACATTGCTGTTGTTATTGTATCGATGCAAAATTATCAAATGAAAGGATTTCATATGCACTATCATAGCACCAAAAAAGGAGTTCTAATCCAGGTCGTGGATCAGTAAATTCATCCAATCTCCATAACAATCCTAATGTGTCTAAGTTTTATTTATGGAGTGTAATTGGATCAAGATCTGACCTTGTCCCATGAAATATCCATGAGGTTCCTCTTTTAAAAAGTTCCCAAGAGGGCCTAGATGATCCATAATTTTTTTTCCATTTTTCCTTTCCTTTATTCACTTCCTTATGTTGTTTTAAAAATTAATGTATACTCGTACTAACAAGTAACTTGAAATGGTTAACAAACAGAGATGGTCCATGATAGGATTAAACTAGAAGTTGAAACAGCTTGACATAGCTTAATTATGCGGGGGATAAGCTTCATGGATCTGTAAATATTGCTTATTTAATCTGAGAAAGCATATTCCTCATTGACTTAGCTGACATTCTTCGAGGCTTTACTATTTCTCTATCGTTTTTGAACATCGAATCTGCATGTTACGATTGAGCATATATAAAAGATCTTTGGATTTTTCAATCATATATGAAACTAGTCATGCTCAATCATATAAAATGCCAACTACCTTCAATGAATATATAATTGCTTCATAGGCATGCTTCTGGATTCCCACTGGATTGTTCTTCTGCTTTGGTGCATGACACACCCTGGACTCTCTCCCACTCCTTGGGGAGAAAGACGCAGAATTTGGCAAACCATCTTTTATTTTTCTGAACATATTCGCCTTTTATGTTAAAATGTTTAATTTTAATTTATTTTTAAGTGTTTTCACTCTCCTTACTGGACATTTCCTAGAAAACATGGTTAAAGAGCTCTTATATAAAGCTTGCTATTTCTACTGGGTTGGAATAATACAAAGACCATAATTAGGCAAGGTCTAGGATCCCACCAATTTGTGAGGCCCATTCATCTGAAACTAGTTTCCCAATGATATCTTTGGATAGTAATGTTCAATTTATCATTTTCATGTCAATTGATGTTGCTATTTTGCCCTTGAAAATTTAATGATTATTTTTAAGATCGTAATTTTTGTTTGAAATTATTAATTGCAGCAATTTATGCCACCCTTCGGCACTCCACCCCATCCGTACGTTGCAATGTATCCCCCCGGGAGTATATATGCACATCCAACTATTCCTCCAGTATGTTGTTGCTTTGTTTGTTAATACATAGCTAGATCATAATCCTTTATTGAATTCTCTAACATTTTTATGGTGTCTTAAAAACTTGATTAGGGATCATACCCTTTCAGCCCTTTTGCTATGCCATCTCCAAATGGTATTGCTGAAGCTTCTGTGAGTTACTGTACCACTTGTTATATTCCCTATCTTTCTTCTCCATTGTTTTTTTTCCTTATTATAATTTTTATTGCTGCAATTATTTCCCATGACCTCTTGGTAAAATGATTTTCAATATGACTTATAGCCTAACACTCCCGGCAACATGGAACTGGATGGTAAGTCATCTGAGGGGAAGGAAAAACTTCCCATCAAAGTATCTAGGGGAAGTTTAGCCAGTTTGAATATGGTTACTGGGAAGGATATTGAACCTGGTAAAACATCTGGTGCATCTGCAGATGGTGTGCATTCCAAGAGGTATGATGAAAGTACAAAACAACTAAATTGAAGGAGACAAATAATTTCATAGTTGTAGTAGGATATGAAGGTACACTTATAATAATTTGTGCCAGGTTCTTACTTTTGGCAAGATACTGGAAACAGG